TTGTGTTTTGCATCTTGTTTTTCTCATTTTGCGACTCATTTTAGTCTTTTTGCATCAAGTTTTTATTGTTTTGTATCTCAGTGTTCTCTTTTTGTGTCTCATTTTACTTGTTTTTTACTTTTAACGCCTAATTTTTCTCATTTTGCGTCGTGTTTTTCCCGTCCTAAGTCGTTCTCCGTCTCCTAACTGTTGCTTCATGTCTGCATGTTGTGTTTGTTTCTCTCTCTGCTCCGTTTCATCTCGTCGTCGTCACTTCTTGTCTCCCTGCTGTCATTTAGTGACTCATTTTTCTTGTTTTGGGACAGTTTGGTCTCCTCGTCCTGCTGATGTTGAACTATCTCCATGTCTCCAGATGTAGAAAGATGTTCCACCATCAGTAGAAAGATGTTCCACCATCAGATGTAGAAAGATGTTCCACCATCAGTAGAAAGATGTTCCACCATCAGCTGGATGTATCTCCAGTAACTGGCTCCTCTGTTCTCTGATCCATGCTGCATGTATTTATGGATCCAGGAGGTTCAGGTTTTAAGGCATTTTTGAATTTTGTTTTCCAACTATTCCTAAAAATATTTATGCCATTCTGTCCAAGGTTGTCATTCTGACGGCGTTGAGGAGATTTTAAGTATTTTGAAATCAAACATGTAGAATAAAGTGCGTTTGATGGTTTTCAGCTCAGATTAAACGGAGCTTCATCTGTGACTACGGTGATGTTTCTACAGTGCGTGGCTCATAGATGGTCTCCTCTGTGCTTTAGTTTTCAGAGGTAGTGCTCCTCTTTGGGGTTCAGAGTGTCAAAGCGTGACTGAACTCGTGCAGATCTGGGACACTGGGACAGTCCTCCACTTGCACAACATTTCAGGAGGACAGATTGTGTATAGGGTGCAACACAATGTGAAGGCCGATAATCGCAGCTTCTCTACCTGCCAGCACGCATCACGTCTGGCTCAGGACGGCCGCGGGCGGCCAGTGAATCACTGTACAGTGAGCTGTGTTTCCAGCTCTGATGAGGTTTGTGCATGGCTGAACCGGGAGACACTGATGAATCTGCAACACGATTCCTCTGCAGCCATGATAACGACGTTTGTTCTCCTAAGAGTTCAGCAGGATGCGCCCCAACAGGTAACGCAGCGCAAACAGACGCACGGCTCAGTTTTGTCCCGCCGCCCCTCCAGGGAAACCCCGTCACATCCTACATGCACCGGAGTCACAGCTCATGAAATAAAGATCGCGTGTCGCTGCCACGGCTGCACCTAAACCCAAACCCAACTTGAGCCCGTTTCGTTTCTTTGGTCGCATCTGTGTTCTGTGTGCAGCGACTCTGCTGGAGGTGCAGCGAAGTGGAAGAGCCGCGATGCCACTTCCAGTCAGTGAGCAGAGCAGCCTCTTACAGTGCATTCTGGGAATTCTGCATGGAGCCGAGCAGGGCGGTGGAGTGATACTGGCAGCGGGACGCTCGGTTCACTCTCGAGGGATCGCTGTGCTGCTGCTGCTGCTGCTGCTCTCACGGAGCGAGCAAACAAAGTGCCTCAAAAACAAACCTGGGCCCATGTGACGCCGCTCCCCTCCCCCACAGCAGCGCATTGTTCTAATACCACGTTAGAGATAAGCCTCGTTTATCAGGTTACAGCCGCAGCGCCGCTGTGACGCTCAGAACCACAGCCAGAGAGCACAGGACTGTTTGTATTTATGGTGTATTTAGTGAAACGTGATGATGGTCATTATTTAGAAGAGTGAATATGATAAAGTGTCCTGATGGTATTTATGGATTTCTGCTCATGATTAAGGGCAGCTGAGGAAACCTGATGCAGCAGCTTCACCGTAAATTCTGCTGTTGTGAAGCTCTTTGTGTTAAAACTGTGATAAAGCTGATGATTTATGATTATTGCTGATATTTATAAAGATATTTGCTTCATTGTCAAATACTTTGTTCTGAGATAAAATCTTGGCAGGTTCAGAAAATATTAAAGATACAAACCTGAATTTTTCTCCGTTAATTCTCATCATTTATTGATTCAGACTCTAATGTTTCTCTGCCACTGGTACCACTATGAGACATCCCATAATACTGATGCTACCAGCTGCTTATGAAGTTGACTGGAGCATCTTTAATTGATCTGGTTTCATCTTTAACTCATTTAAGACTGGATTTGAATGTTTTTGGGCATTTTTGTTTTTTTAAATTTCATCCAAAGTTTGAGTCATTTTGGAAAAGTTTATGTCGTTCCAGAAAAACGTTGATGCATTTTAGTTTAAATAAATGTGATCAATTTGGGGTCATTTGGGTGAACTTTGGAGTAATTTGGAGTCGTTTTTTAAAATTTTGGACAGGGTAAAGGCATTCTGGACAAATTCTTTAGACCTTTTGGAGAAGTTTTTGTCATTTCTCAAAGATTCAGGACAAATTTGAACACATTTTGAGTATTTTGGACAAATTATGGGACATGAAACTAGTTGGTACGGAGGAGATGAACAGAACCAGGTCCAGTGTTCAGACGGTGACACCTGGATGGATGTAGAGCTGATCTGGTGTCAGGTTCTACCAGAACTCTGATGTGTTCTTCCTCCTAAATGTCATGTGTCTATCTGCTGTTCTGATGAAGTTCTGAGGCTCAGAAATGATGGAAAAAGTCCATTAGAGGGATCAATCTGGACCCTCCTCTGTGGACTTCAAGGACCTGGAGCCGTCTGAAGCTAGAACTTAGCAGAGCTTTATTAAATATGTTAAAGGTATTGAAGATCGATATCAGCTGATTGGGTTCTGGTTCTGGTTCATTCTATCAGCTTAAAGGTGTGTTTCCTCAGCTCCATGTCTGTCTGGTGGATCTAACTCATGGGTATCAAACTCAGGATGTGTGTTTGTGTCTGCAGGACTACCGGGTCAACATCTTCCTCCGGCAGCAATGGAACGACCCTCGACTCGCCTACGCCGAGTATCCGGACGACTCCCTGGACCTGGACCCGTCCATGCTGGACTCCATATGGAAGCCGGATCTGTTCTTCGCCAACGAGAAGGGGGCCCACTTCCACGAGGTCACCACGGACAACAAGCTCCTCAGGATATTCAAGAACGGGAACGTCCTGTACTCCATCCGGTAAGCCGTGGCGCTGGTCGGCGCTGGTCGGTGGGACTCGGGCCGCCACAGGACTCCAGTCTGCCACACAAAGCCGTGCGGCTCTGACCCGCAGTAATGTCTGCTGTTCTCTCTAATGTGACCAAAGTGGAAGGAGCAGGTCCTTTGTTCGCTGTGCGCTCGCATAGAGCTGCACTTTAGCGTTTTCATGGCTGGAGGCTCCAGCTGAAGCCACAGCGTGAAACCCAACAGGATGGAGAGGAAGTCCTGTCTGTGGCAGCAACACATCGACCGGAGTGTGTCTGCGGTGGAAGGAACTGGACCGGAGCTTATGGTTCCAGCACAGCTCGGTTCTGTACGTTCATTGGTTCATAGGTTTAGATGGTTTTAAATGACAACCACCAGAAAAGTACAAAGTAATGTGGAACACAGGATTCAGCTTTGTATCACCTCACAGTAATCAGATTACTTCTAGCTGAACAGCAGAGGATTTGCTCAGATGTGGAATTAAAACTAAACAGTTTAGATTTATTATATTACAGAAGAAACTCAACAGAGGAGACCAGAGTCCACTAAGTTCTGCTCACNCTCCGCCCCCCATGACCCTAGTGAGGATGAAGGTGTAGAGATGATGGATGGATGGTCTCTACAAGTGATGAACGATATTAAGATTTCTGGCCGATACCGATATCCGATATTCAGTTTCTGTTCACACCAAAAAACGAGTATCAGTAAACACTGTGAGAAAGCTACTGAAAGGAAGCCAAATTAGACCACGTAGACTTCTTAATGACAAAAGTTAAACATGTTTAACGTTCAGGACCGTTTAAGTAGAAACATCTGTGAAGTGTGAAATATAAATCACACTACGGGAGAAGTATCTCAGACTTCCCCCGTAGCAGAGCAAATCTGTGTGGCACGACTGGGCATCTAGAACCATCACACTATTTGCCCAAGTTGCTGAACAGAACAGGTTAAAAAAAAAAAAAAGAAACATCTGTGAAGCAGCAGCAACATCAGACGTAGAGACGAAGGCGCTGATGTCAGGCGATCAGCTGATACCGATGTGGTCGCTGATATATCTTTACATTCGTCTGTATTGTGGTTTGAAGAAGTTCAGTTAAAAAGTTATTAAAGAAGAAAATAATGCAGCACATATACAAAAAGAAAGAAGGAAAGAAAGAACGTTCCACATGTTTTTCTGAAAACATTTCAATGCAGATAAAATGCACTTTAAAACGGTCATATTTAAATATGTAGCCGAGCAATGACCAGATCCAGCTGTAGTAATCTGATTACATGTAATCCGTTACTGACTACAAGTAGCTGTGACCTCTGCACAGTTTGTTCCTGATTACCATAAAGCTCCAGCAGAGTTTCCTCCCTGTAGACCTGATGCATATTCAGGTCTTTCCCGCTCACCAGACGTGATTAAAACATTCAGTCGGATGCGTTCGTTAAAAACTCCTAAAGTCACAAACCCTCGCACCGCGGCCGGCTTTATTCATTTATTCTCAGCACGGCTGCTCGATTATGGGACAACATTTGATCTGCACAGAGAGCACCATTATTTATCAGGATTATTCACTGACGGGGACAAAATATTTCTGCTGACATTTAAACCAGCAGAGCGCTGATGTCACTTCCTGTTGTGCTGCATTCATGCTAACATGCATCAAAATAAGAATTAAAAATAGTCCTCGCTTATATTCAGAGAGTCCTCAAGAGGCTAAATATCAGAACCAAAGACTCGTCTTATCAATAGGCGCTACAATTTACAGATGTTCCCTGAACGCCTCGCATGCTACGCTAGCAGCTAGCTAGGTTTGACCTGTTTTGTTAAATTACAAATAAAAACTATTAAAATCACCAATTAAAGGTATAAAAGTAGAATATCTGATTGTAAAGTTACACTTTTTAAAAAAATGTATATTTAAATCAGGATTTTTTTTAGATATTTGTTGTTATTTAAAAGGTAATTTCTGTGTATTAAAGATTAGAAAGTGACAAATAAGTTCATAACTGTTGTCACAATGTTATTTGTAAATTATTATTTTATTCCTACAAATGGCGATTAGTTTATTTTATAATGTTTTACAATAAAATGTAATTATTTTGACTGTATTTAAATTTGGTAAAAATATAAAAAATAATTTACAGAAATTTACTGTTTCCATGGTTGTTTTTGTTTATTTGTTGAAAAAAATATATTAATTCCATTTTTTACCCTAAAAACACAGTCCACCTCAAGCTCTGTATTTTTTTTTTAAGTTCATTAGAATGTTTGGCCATAAAATTAAGCTTTTTGTTAACAAAGATTTGCCGGTTTTTGAAGGAAAACTGAATATATGAAGGACTGAGAAATGGTAAAAAAATAAAATAAAAATTAACTGTTTATCCTTCATTCACTCTATTTTTACAACTTGTAATTTATTTATTTACTTACACACCATAAAAGAAATTATTTTCTGTATTTAAATCCACAAAAACCATCATTATTGAACAAATGTTTGCTGGTTTTCTTCATTTTTTTAAACCAGTTTTTAAAGGTTTTTTTGGCATTCTTTTTGGCAGTGCCTCTGATCTTACTGCGTCACATGTATTGTTGGGAGGCCCAGGTCTTGGTTGATATTGGACTAAATGTGCACATGTTCAGCTCTTAAGTGAACTGTGAGGCCTTCAGGTTCTGACTTTTCGGTCCAAACAAACAAACAAAAAAAAAAACCCTGAGCTGTTTTTTTCTGGAGGTGATGATAGAAAATGTTTGGCGCTCCACTGAGCTTGGACACTCGGCTGCGTATTTAGCAGGTTGTGATCAGCGAAGCTTCTCTAAAGACGGACGGACGGGTGGAGGATGAAGGATGATGGATGATAGAAGCGACAGCGTCTAAGTGCTTCCTGCACCGCTGGGAGATGTTCTGACGGATTCCTTCGTTTCCCGACAACTGTCACGAGGAATTTCTGAATATTGCTTTCGTTCGACTTTTATTATTCATCGGACCTGCGTGAATTTTTCAGGACGGCGTACACGTGTGTGTTTACAGTCGCCTCTGTGATTCCTCCTGTTTGCTTTTTAAGGTTTACAAGCTGCGTTTCAAATCCTTTAACGCAGACCTCTTCCTGCGTCAACTTTTCTGCAGAACTGAGATAAGAACGTGTTTTTAATCAGATTTTTTAGGTGGAGTTTCATTTGAGCAAAAATGATAATTAAAGCTGAAAGCGGCGATGGACGGGTCCTGCCATTTCACGTCCATTAAAACATGGCATTTTGGGCCAGTCCTGGTGTGTGTGGCGATGCTGGTGAGTTTTGTGAGTGTTTAGAGCCTCTAACTAGAGTTTCTAAATTGCGTCAAACAATAATAATAAAGCTGTGGGTTCCAGTAGGGTCCGGGCCCGGTTAGTGCTGCGACCCTGAATGTGTTTGCTCGTTGAATGCATCGATCTCCGTCCCATAAAGCAACTCAGACTCACGTTTCCTGCTGCAGCGTCGCCCTCTGAAGGCAGCAAACACCCCCTAAATGACTTAGAAAGAGAAACTGTCGTCCTGCAGGTTTATAGTGTTCATTCTGGAGGAAACCGGACCCTCGCCAGCTGCTGCTGTGGTTCAGACTCCTGTTTCCTCTCAGCTTCACTTCTCATTTGTCAGACGTTGTGAGGAGCATCAGTCCCAGGAGCAGGCGTGTGTTCCACCAGATGGAGCTGAACAACATGTCCAAGCTGCTAAATGCCTCCTCAGATGGACTCCAGCTCCTTCAACGTAGTGTAGCAGCGATCTGTGTTCAGGTTTCAACGTGTTTTATTCAATAAATCAGCGAGAAGCTGCAACAGGAGAAGAATGGTTCCAACATCCCGAGAACAGCTGATATTAAAGGAAAGTCGTGTCCATAGAGATGAACGGCGACCACCTGAGGAGGCCCCACGTCGGCTGACCAGCACTCAGACAACCATCCTGCAGGGTCTCAGCCTAAACCCGGACCAGACGAGCTGCAGAGCTCCTGATCTGACTGAGACGGTGAGCTTCTGTGCGGGGGGAGCTGGCTTTGTGCTGCAGATACAGATTCATATACGCCGAGGCCATATGTCACGCTGGGATTAAGACCTTTCTGTCTTCTCACCATCTGTCTTTTCATCTGCCTGCTGCCCTCCTCCTCCAACAAACACATGACGTAACATCACAGCACGGCCGGCGGTTCCACGGTGTGGAGGACGGAGGAGGAAGCAGAACGTGTTGAAGTGGAGTTTGTTCTGCTGCGTCAGCCTCTGGCTTGACGCAGCAGAACAAACTCAGAGCGGGCCGGGTTTCCGGGCTTAGAGCGGCCAGGTTGCTGCGCTGCTCCACGTTAAACAGATTTACTACTGTCCAGCTCTCCTCTTTTTCATTTGTTCCCTCAATCTGTCCATCCCTCCTAATCCACTGTGTGTGCGAGCAGAGCTGATCTGCAGCACGGCGACCCGAGCCGGGCCGCAGGTTCTGACTGGAAGTGGAAGGCCGGAGAGCAGCAGCACCGGTGTTCAGGTTAAAGCTGTGATGCTGCGTTCGAGGCCCAAAGTCACAGAAACAAACAGCTGGTCGGCGTGTTTCCTCTGAGAAGTCAGTCTGAGGAACATGAACCCAAACAAGGAGCCGAAAATCCTAAAACATAAAGACGGTTTTGTCTCTAAACACTCAGTATTTATAATATTATTTTAAATGATCTTCAGATCAGTGGGTCAGGTTTTTGGGCCACTTCTGACCAGGTTTGTGTCTTGAATTATCTTTGTAATGGTTTTGAACAAGTTTGTGTCACTTTGGACAACTGATGAGTGATTCCAGACACACTATACCTCCACGTCTCCCACTGCTTCTCTCACATCTCGTTTTTCACTTTTAACGTCTCGTTTTTTTTATCATTTTGGGGGTTTTGCGTCATTTTTTTTCTTTTTTTCTGTCATTTTTTTGTGTTTTGCATCTTGTTTTTCTCATTTTGCGACTCATTTTAGTCTTTTTGCATCAAGTTTTTATTGTTTTGTATCTCAATGTT